TACTTGGAACTGTGGAAATCCAGAGATGGAAAAGCGAGGTATGGACAAAGGGGAAGCAGCCTAGGCTCCCTAAAGTAATGTTACCTGGGTCAACCCCAATTTAGGGTCAGGAAAGACCCTGCCCTGCCCCAACAGGTCACTGCTGAGTCAGTCGTCCCTGCATGCTCCTTTGGGCCTTCAGGTTGAGAAGGCAATCTCTGGGGAGCAGGCTGCAAGGACCCTAGATGGCAAAGCAGGGCTCCGGGCAGCAGGCAGAGCCTGATCTACAACATTTCAATCTTTAAACCAGTGGTTCTCAACCCAGGGACAATTATGACCCGCCCCACCCCCCGCAGGGAGCATATGGCAATGCCGAGACAGTTTTGACAGCCAAGACTTTAGGGAACAGGGGAATTTACCACAAGCCTCTAGTGGGTAAAGGCCAGAGTTGCTGCAAAACATCTCGCAAAGCACAAGACTGCCCTGTACCTACCGAAGAAAAAATTATCCAATCCAAATCTTAATCCAATCCTGATTAAGACTATGATTTGCAGGCTTCCATTTGTATTCTTGTCTCAGGCCTCACAAATGTTATAGGCAGGCCTGCTAAGAACTTAATCATAAATTATAGAACTCTTATAACACTGTTTTGAAGGGAAAAGTTTATTTCAGGTTTTGGTATCCAAAGAAGAACTTCTGTGACTCCAGTTAACGTTCAATCATTCATTTATTCAACATTTACCAAGTACCATTATGTAATTAAGCACAATGCTAAGCAAATGTAATGGTGTTAAAAAAATTTTGATGGTATCTGGTACATTCAATCCTGCCTGGCTCAGAGCAGCATAGTAAGAAAAAATAACGGGGACTCAGAAGTCAGATGCATCTAGTTCTGATCCCAGTTCCACAATTTACTATCATTAGGCAAGTTACTTAACTTCCTTGAAATTCAATCTATTTCTATGTCAAATTGGGCCTCCCACAAAGGAAAAGATAATTAAATAAAATAATTCATGTAAAGCACAAAGTATACTGTATCCAATCATTAATTCTCTATTACTAATAGCAAGTTTTCAGCTTTTATAAAGTAATCAGTATGCTAGAAACGGCTAATATGCCTATAAAAAGGACAGTCACTATTACTGTGATTGTGACGGACTGAACAGCTCACTGCGTGGCATAGAAGATCCTTCAAATTCTGGCTCCTATCTCCTCCAGCCTTATCTCCCACCACCTAGATCACCTTTACTGTCACATGTCCCATGAGTGGGAAGAGACTGAAAGATGGGATCTGATAGTAACCAGTGTCAAGCCAAAGGTCACTTTAAGAAAATTCTTTAGCTAAAAAAAAAAAAAAAAAAAAAAAAAAAAAAAAATTCTTTAGCTATAATTCTGGCAGTACACATAGGTACTGGGTGGAAGGGCAAGGAAGGGCATAGAGAACAAATGAACACAAAGGGCTCCAAAGCCAGGAATAGGTCATTTGCTTGTAATGCATTTCTAAATGGAAACATCTCAACCAGCATCCATCTTTCACTTCACAATTCATCAGTATTTTGCACCTCTTTCATAAGAATGGACTGAAAAATAAGTCAAATATAATCAGTCTCATAACTGGGAAAAAAAATATGGAATGACCGCGTTACCACAGCCTAACAAATTTGACCAGATATCAATGCCAACATCTAAGTGAGAAAAGAAAGCCTTAACCACAAATTACTGAAAGTATAGTTATATAGAGCAAAAAATGGCTAAGAGTTTCAGTTCCCCTTAGCCATATACAATACCTTTACACAGATCATAACAGAGCACATTTTACTGGACCTGTTTTTAGGCAAAATACCAGCTACAGAACCTCTTTCACATTACTAGTTAACGAAAAAGAAAGTCTGTGGGTCTATACAACCAGCTATCTACTGAGCACATCAGTGAAATCCTCAGCCTTCTTTCCCCAGACTCCTGTGACAAGACCGAAACAAAACAATCATGTTAAGTTTTCTTGTAAGCTCACATGTCTGATTTGAGTTTTGGCTAAGTTTACTTTTGTCCTTGTGTAACCTCACGAAAAAAAGTGGGGGGAGAGGGTAAACTGCAATCAACTTTGTGCTAGAAAACCAAAAATAAACTTCATCTATGCTCCTTGTGTTAAGGATTATAGAGAGGAGATCTGCGTTCAAGCCAGGTGTGACCTTAGTCAAGTAACTGAAATTCATTGAGTCTCAGTCTCCTGATACAAAAAAGAAAAGAAAATGACTGGATTAAGAAGCTTTAACATTTCTTCCACTCAAATTCTGATTCAGAGTTTGAAAATCTTTACCATCAAAATGTTTCTTAATGGTCCTTTGAAACTACAGGAAGAAATAAAGGCCTCTAGAGAAATTATGTATCAAATTATAAATTTGTAGATTTGAAAAGATCATTTAGTGAAACACTCTTGAAATCTGTGCTTAGTGATTATTGCAAACTACTGGCTGAATACAGAGTGACACAATCACAGAACTGCCCCTGTGTCCATAGCACCTTCCCATCAGACATTCTTCCAGGTAGTTGCTTTCTGAAAAAGAGTATGGCTCTCCAAAATAATTCCAATGAAGCTACCATTAACATTCATGAGATAATGCAATTGCTTAGCCTTCAGAGGTATACCATGCTACATCAGATTCTGCTGATTAACACCAGTTTCAGTGATTTGAGAGTATCAGTATTCCAAATAAGCAACATAACAGCAATAGTAGAATCATTTCAAGACTTGGAGCAATGGTCACTTTCAGAATTACAGAGTCTGAGAGACCCTAGTGATCATCTCTAAGAGAAAAGCATTACCTTTATTCACTAGAGCCTTAAGGATTAACTAGATGAGCTTACAAACGAGCCTCTGAACATTAAAAAAAAAAAAAAATCAGTTTATTTGGAGAGATTACTTCCTAAAAACATCCCCAAAGACGAAAAAGAAATTCCCAAAGTAATAATTTTGCTATCTCTGCTTATGTTGAAATTTATTCTACAGGCAGAGCTTCTGAGAAGTACTACTGTCTGCTGAACTATCCCAGCAATTTCTGGAGGTTCTGGCCATAAAAGGAGACAAAAAGCAACCTGAACACCACTTCACAGGGGTACTACCAGCTGGTACCACTTTCATGCAGTCATAGAAACTGTACCACAATAAATATTAACAGTAATGACAGATAATTCAAACATTTCACTTGCCTTCCAATCAGGTCATAAAATCTGCGTTCTTAAGTATGCAAACACAGCATGTTTCATTTTACATTGTAAATCATATATTTTAGTGCCTGGGTGGCTCAGTCAGTGGTTAAACGGCTGCCTCTGGCTCAGGTAATGATTCCAGGGTCCTGGGATGGAGTCCTGCATGTGGCTCCCTGCTCAGTGGGGGGCCTGCTTCTCCCTCTCCTCTGCTTGCTGCTCCCCCTACTTAAGTGCTCACTCTCTCTCTCTCTCTCTGTCAAATAAATAAAAATCTTAAAAAAAAAAAAAAAAAGAAACAAGTTTCCTAAATCCACTCCATGAAGCTAATCTTAGAACTAAAAATCTGCTTAATTTCGTAACATTTATCTTGCGATTTTACCAATAAATTCCATTTGAAGCCTTAACTTTCAAGAGGTTTTTATTCCCTCCCTTTTTTCTTTCTCAGACAGTAAGAGTAGCACAATACTAATCTCAAATATTCCTGAATGACATGAATTTAGAAATTGTAATTATAATTATGATGATATTCCTCTAGTCTAGAGGAATAAGATGAAAATATAAAACCGCTGACATATTAAATGAATACAAAATTCAAGACCATGAATTAAGGGCACACATTACTGTGTTCAGAAAACAAAATCCACCTTACCCACACATGTAGGAGCAGTTGAAAGTAATCGTTTCATCAAGATCATTCACAGCATTACATAAACCTTTTTAATATCCGGAAATAACTCTTTACCCACAAAGAGACAAAACATGCATTTGGCTGACCTGGAAATCCAGTGTCTCCTATGCCTACCAAAATCAGGACGGTGAAGAGTTAGGAATTTAAATAATGTGAGCTAATTGGGAGCTATTTAAAAGTGTTTACAGATTTTACAATATGGAACACTTACTCAAAAGCGCCCTACTTGAAAACAATCTCTAATCCCGTCATCGTGCTTCCTCCGGCCCAAGATTAGGGAATCTCTTTAGTTTGCAGAGATATATCTACGGGCCACTGGGTTTAAAGTCACATGGTAATTCTATGGGTCGTTCCGAAATGGGTCATTAGTAATACTGCTTACCCGGTTTGTCCAAAACGTCCCCCAAATCCACTGTTTTCAAACTTTAGGGTCCCTCAATAACACCAAGGCCACTTATTAAGCACACAGATTCCGGGGCCCAAGCTACGGTGTCTCAGTGCCTAGGGAGGAACCCCGAACAGCATTTTTAATCAGCACCCAGGTCAATCTGATGCAGGTGCTCCAACACCCACATTTTGGGGCACAGACGCCTAACAAGTCGGAAAAGAGACCTACTTCAGCCACCCCCGCGTGTTACGGACAAGGAGAAAGTTAGGGCTGCGGGAACTTCGCGTCCCTCGAGGAAGAGCTCTGGGCTGGGCCCGGATTCCCTGGAACCGTGCGTCCCACAAGGCGATGCCTAGTTCCTGAGGAAGTGAGTAGGTGACACAACCACAGTTATTTTCAGCATTTCCAACAAGTCCCCACTGGCTCTGTAGAGGACTGCGGAAAGAGCGTGGACTTCGTGAAGTCCCACAGGTCTACGTTACTCCAGCTCGGCCACTTACTAGCCAAGCGTCCTTAACGCTCGGGCCTCAGTTTCCCCGTCTGTGCAACGGGCTCACGCCACCCCGCGGGAAGGCTAAGCCGAAACGAAAGTAACTCAGCGGGTCGCAGGCACTTCCTGGCTCTCCCCGGCCGGGCCCGGCTTCCCCGCCGCCGCAGCGGGCACCCCGGAGTGCGCGCCGAGGGGGCCGCCGCTTCCCAACGCCCCCCGCCCGGCCCGACCCTCGGCCGGACACTCACGGGTAGGCATGGTGACCCCGAGCCGGGCTCGCCGCCGCACGGAGGCTCAGCGGGGCCGCGCAAGGCTCGCCGACCGCACCATGGCGGGCCAGCGCCGAGCCGCGGAGACCCGGACCAGGCGAGTGACGGAGGGCGGAGGGAGTGAACGCGGACCCGGCGGCTCACTCAGCGCGAAGCCAGCGACAGCAGCCACAGCCGGCCCAGCTGTGCGCCGGTCGCCGCGTTGGGCGTCCCCGCGCCCTGACGTCATCCCGTCGCCTACGCGCCGGCCCCGCCCCCGCCCTGCGACCGAGCTCCGCCCAGGAGCGGTAAGGCTGAAGCAGGGGGCGGGGACTAGGGGAGGGCCGTCAGCGGTCTTGAATAACTTGGGGCTCTGTTTTGACTGATTTGAGTCATACTCCTTTCCACGAGTCCCTGCTCGCGGTGCATTTACCGATATTCACGCCTTACACTGGCACCGATTTATGATTTTGTGAGGGTGTGCATGATTGCTTTAAGTGCATGGAATACCTGGGGGCTTTTTTGTATGAGCTGTTGAACTTGCATTGCGTTCTACTTCTCTGACAGCATGGTTGGAGACGCCCTGGGGTCATTCGGGGTGATAGCAGAGCGTTTTTTGAGAGGACAGAAATGTAATTTTCTCTTCCCCGCGGGTGACTTTCAGAGACATTATACGCCTGAGGAGTCAGTCTCGGGAGAGAGCGGTTCTATCCACTTGATAGGGAAAAGCGGAAATCCAGCGCCCTGGATTTTTCCAGACTCAGTGTCATTAATAAACATCGTATCTAACAGTCACCGAAATGAGCGTTCAGCAGAGCACACACACTTTGCTAGGCCCCGGGAGCTGTGGACAGCGTGTATGGAGAAATAGGAGAAAGCCACAGAGGCCACAGTGTTTCTCAAAGTGGTTCAGGATCTTTTGGTGCCTGATTCACTTGGGAACCTGTCGAAAAGCAGATTCATGGTTCCTGAACCACACCCACTGAATCACACGTATAATTAATTCAAATTAAGTACTTATATCTGAGAAACTTTGTCCTAGAGAGTAGGGCCAGCATTCTGGTTAGACAATAATACTGCGCAGTACTGAAAGAAGAGAAAGATGAAAATCAGGGGTCAGAAAGCGCTTGGGGGAAATGAGTTTAGAGGTGGACTTGGAGAAAAGCAGAATCTGAATTAGCCAAGAATTGGGGAGCCCTTGGAGAGGCTGGGGAAGGGTGGAGGGCAATAAAGAGCTAATCACAGAAGCTGGTGAAAGGAGAGGAGAGTGTGTGCAGAGGCTATATACCAGACCTTCTCTTGCTAAGGGTAACAGCCAAACCACCAAATACTCAGCCAACACTTAACTTACCCTTCAATGCACTTTTGCATATTTTTATCATCTATAACATCTTTCTTGCTCCCAGTTTTTGCCCTGAGACATTTTACAGTATCTTGACTTGCTTCTGCTGTAGCACTTTTCCCATTGAATCTTAATCAGTCATAAGTGCTTACATTCCACCACTGGACTATGCACTTTTCAGAAAATGGCAAATACCGTAGTCCATATTTATGTATCCCTATCTGGCACACAGTAGGGGGCTAGAGCATTTTTGTTTAGTAACTATTTAACAAAGTGTGTATTTATTCAGTGAATATGGAAAAAACAGGTAAAATAGAACTAGTTAGTGAACAACCTTGCAAACTTGGAATTTGTCCTTTGAGAAACCATTCTAGGCTCTCTATGAGGACAGTGGCATTGAATAATCAGAAGTAGGGTTCTGCATAGTGGACAGCATGATACAGAAACCACGAGGGAGTCCTCAGGACTGACACTGAAGGGAGTGTTAGGTGCCTGGTCTTAGTGGTGACTATGGAAAAGGAATGAGATGAATCTTACTGCAGCAGAAGAATCCCTGGGATTTGTTGGCTGCTGGCTTGGGAGCAAAAGAGAGGCATCTGTTAGTTATGTAACTCCAAGGCTGAAAGAAGGAAATGAATGATACTGGGAAAGCAGTAGACAAGTTGGGAGGGAATGCTGTTTTAGGGAAGGGGTGTGAAGAGAGGATGTGAGTTTCTCTTTGACACATTAAGCTTGAGGCAATATCCAAGGGAGACATTCTAGTGAATAGTTCTGAAGGCAGGTGCGCATACCAGGCTGAAGGCAGATGGAGGGATCTCAAGGTTGGAGATTTGGGAAGCTTTGGCCCACAGACCAGAAGCTAAAGCCAGGAGTCAGAGAAACCCTGCTGAGGGAGGGTGTGGAGCCAAAGACATAGAGATAGAGGAGATCCAAAGGGCACAGTGCCCTGTAAGCCAAAGGAGGATATGATTCCAAAGGACAGTCATCTCTGTTTACATCACTCAAAAAAAGATGCAAATCCCAAAGGTCCTGAGATAGTCTGGCCCATAATGAGTCTGGTTCTTTTTTTTTTTTTAATCCCCTAGGTTTTTTGGTTTGTATCATTGCCAGAAATTCAATCAGCAGCCAAAGATTCTGGGAAAGGACAGCTGAAAGTCAAGAATAATAACTTCATAACTGTAGGATCACGTACAACATACCTAAGTGTTTTCCTGGTTTACACATGGTCTGGTTTACATAGAGACACCTTTTCCATATCAAATCCTCTGGATCACCCTCTGTCTGTGTACCCCCTTCCCCTTTTCTCTGAGAGGACTAATTCTGCCACCACTTTCTTTAGACTTGATCTAAGACTGGTAGCCTCTCCTGGACCACTTCTGGCTTGCAAACACCCTTCCACCCCTTCTGCCAGTACTCCCTTTTTGAAACTCTATTTGGGCTGGTAGGAAATACATTTTATCCATCTGTCAGTCCTCACACTGCCCAGTACTTGTACTTGCACACCCTGTCTGGCTGACCCAGAAATGGGTCAGATTCCTCTTCCAGAAAGAAAGCCTGCCTGATACTATCAGTTAAAACGATATTAAAAAGATTGTCATTGGCATCCTATTGGAACATCAGCTTTTGGTCAAATTGCCCAAAATAGCTGCTTCCAGTTTAGTCCATTATTTGTTCCAATTTCTAAATCAGGCACAGAGACAATTCACTTTTAATTGGCACACGTTTTAGTGTTCCAAGGTAATTGCCAGCAAATTGATAGTTTATAGGAATTAATTGCAAAGATATTTATTTCCCCCAAAAGTTTATTCCCAAAAGGTCATCATGATATAATTTGATGCACTCATTGCTTAGTTTTCCTTCTTGATCAGTATTTATACCAAGAATATGCCCTTTTTGTGTCATTTCATTCCATTTTATTTCTGTCTGCCATTGCTTAAGAGTGACTCAGGGCTTTCCAGCTCTCATGAAGTGTAAAAAAAAGCACAGACATTGGATTTAGCAAACCTGAGTTGGAATCCTTCCTGCCTTCCCCTTTACCTGACCTTTTGACAATCCATGACCTCTTTGGATTTACTTTCCTCAAATTCAAAATCAAGAGACATTCCCTTTGGTTGTGATGCTCTGTGAATCTTCTCAAGGTAGTAGTTCTCAAACTTGACTGACGTCTGAACTAATTGGGGGAGCTTTAAAGAATATCCACCCCCAGATCCTAGTTCCAAGATTCTGACGTAGTTGGTCTGGCACATGACCTGGGCCTGGACCCAGTTTAAAAGCTCATCAGGGGTTTTGGGGCAGCGAGGCTGAACTCTATTGCTTTAGGAAAGAAGTAAGCAAGACGAGGTTCTAATCCAGAGTCATACACCTGTCATTGGGCCATTTCTGCTACCAGGTAAGCTCATGCATTTTGAGATCACTGGCCTCAGAACTCTAGAGTAATTTTCTCGCTCATGTGCTAGTCAATCTAGTTGCAAACATACATGAGAACAAATGGGAAGGATAAACCTCTAATCCAAAAGGGCATTACCAACCCTTTCTGGGCCAACTGGAACACAGTGCAAGGCACAGCTTCCTGAACATCCCATGAGCCAAATATCATAGTCCTCTGCGCTTTGTAAAGACAATTGCAAATAGATAGAGAGCAAAATTCTGAGATAATTAGGAGCTCTTGATTAAATCAGCCAAAACAGCTGGAAACCCTTTCTTAGAAACACTATCATTTTAAACAATTAGAGAAAAGCATTATCTCTTATTGTTACTTACTAAACTGCTTTAGCACTTAACACAAAATGTAGTGGAGCTGCTAAAAGGAGAGGAAAAAAAAAAGTACTCCTTTAAATATGGTGGGATTCTGAGTGGTGAGTCCTGTATGAGACTTTTATGACAACTGGAATCAAATCTTATTTATTGCTGTTTCTCCTGTATGGGGAACATATTAGGTGCTAAGTAAATATTGGAGGGAGGAAAAGAGGAAGACAGGGAAGGAATGGAAAGAGAAGCATAAAGACATAGAGACAAGAAGCAAAGAGATACACAAAGAATGGAAGAGGCGTTTTGTGGTAGATGGGAAGCCATAGCCTCCCATTCTTCCCCTGACTGTGTGCACACTCTTGCAGGTGACTCCTCCCAAAAGAAGACCACTGTCTCCACTCCAGAATCTGGGCTGGCCTTACAACTTTGGCTATTAAGACAACGGCAAACTCTGCACAAGCAGAGACTTAGAAAATGTGAACATTAGGCTCCCTTTTGGAGGAGAGGCCCCAATCATCCCAACCCTTCCAAATGAGACCACCATAAATTAGGCAAAACCAAGTGATCCACCAGTTCAGCAAAGACTGAAGAGTGAGTGTAACCAAGACCAACATTAAGACTGCCTCTCTGAGGCACCTGGGTGGCTCAGTGGGTTAAAGACTGCCCCTCTGAGACCAGGCCCAATTGTCAACCCACAGGAGCATGAGATAAATAGTTATTTTAAGCAACTCATTTTAAGTTTGGGGGTGGCTAGTTATGCACTCCATAATCACTCTTACTAGTTATCATTACAACTGTAGCTAACTAATCCCTATTTTATAAAAATCATTATGGTGTGTGTGAGGGGGTGTTGCCTGGGTGGCTCAGTTGGTTAAGGGTCCAACTCTTGGTTTCAGCTCAGGTCATGATCCCAGAGTGGTGGGATTGAGTCCTGCCTAGCATCTGCTCTCAGCGTGGAGTCTATTTGAGATTCTCTCTCTCTCCCTCTTGCCCCTCCCCCACTCTG